TCAACGTTTATGCTTTCTGTTATGATGTCTGAGTAGTGAATAGGTTTCTGAGGATGGGTTAGAGTAGTGTAAAATTCTCAGAATGCTAGGTGATTGAGTATTGATTGATAGATCCCTTCTGGATTAGTTGTTCTTAATGCCTATTGCTTTCTGATCAACTTGAATTTGAGCCCAGACATTTCCGCGCCCAAAAGGTGTTCGATGAAATGTATGAACCACTAATTCCAGAGATTCGTGACCCTGTACCAAGGTATTGGTTGCAAGGAGCGTTTTGGCTTTAACTTGTTGATTCGTAATGCTTGTTAGGTTAGCTCTCGTCAATGGTGATTGAGTCTGGGACTAGGTTAGCTTGAGAGTCTCTGTTGCGGTGGCACTTAGATTTGGTTAATGAACTTGTTGTCTAGGGTTAATTTATTGAGCATGTCAATCACCTGTAAACTGAGGAAACGAAACTACTCAATTATCTCATCCTTAGGAATTCTTTATCTGATTGATTTTATTGTTTACTCTACTACTGTTTACTGCATCCTGTCATCTGTTGCTTAGTTTCTGCAATTCTTTACTGTTACTCTATCTGATACTCGACCACCCAGTTGTCTTGCAACAGACTGTGCAGTCGAGTATCCTTGTTTCATTTCCTGTCTATTACTCGACCTGTCACTCGACCTCACCCAGAGCTCTACAAAGAGCTGTGTTGGTCGAGTGTTTTACTGTTTCTGTTTGATTTTCTGTTTTCTGCATGTTCACTTAGGACTGCTGGAACACACCAAAACCTGTTATGCTTGGCTTGACTTAGTGACTTCTGATCACATCTTGATTGTTAGCATCACACCCATTTGGATTGACAACCTAAAATACTACAATGACATGATTGGTGTTTTAGGATAATTGACTAAAAACCTATTATCAAAGTGCTAACGACGATCTCTTATTTGAGGGAGTAAGCTTAAGGCAATTTGAGCTATATTAATATGCAACAACTGAGAAGGAACTTCTAGCTGTTGTATTCGCATTTGAGAAGTTCAGAAGCTATTTGGTTGGATCCAAGGTCACTGTCTATAAAGACCATGCAACTTTGAGGCATATGTATGCCAAGAAGGATACTAAACCAAGACTGTTGAGATGCATACTTCTGTTGCACGAGTTTGACATGGATATAGTAGACAAGAAGGACATTGAAAATGGTGCAGTTGACCATCTGGCAAGGATGAGAATTGAAGAACCTATTCAAATGGACGACTCAATGCCAAAAGAGCAACTCATGGTTGTAGAATTCTTCGGTGGGAGCTACAGTGGGAAAGAGTTCCACCAACTGAGTGCTATTGAGGGAAGATCTCCATGGTATGCTGATCACGTCAATTATTTGGCATGCGAAGTAGAGTCTCCCAAGTTGACCAGTTATGAAAGGAAGAAGTTTTTCAGGGACATACACCATTACTACTGGGATGAGCCTTACCTTTACACTCTCTGTAAAGATAAGATTTACAGGAGATGCGTCTGAGAAGATGAAGTAGAAGGTATCCTGCTACATTGCCACGGCTCTGCATATGGTGTCCACTTCGCGACATTCAAGACAGTGTCAAAGATTCTGCAAGTAGATTTTTGGTAACCAACAATGTTTAAAGACGCTCAGGCAGAGAAAGGGCAACATTAGCAGAAGAAATGAGATGCCTCAGAACCCAATCTTGGAAATGGAGATCTTTGATGTATGGGGAATTGATTTTATGGGTCCATTCCCATCTTCATACGGTAACAAGTATATACTGGTCACCGTAGATTACATATGAAAGTGGGTCGAAGCTATGGTCAGTCCTACTAACGATGCGAAAGTTGTGCTGAAACTGTTCAAGACCATAATCCTCCCGAGATTTGGAGTTCCGAGGGTAGTAATCAGTGATGGTGGAAAGCATTTCATCAAGGTTTTCGAGAACCTCCTGAAGAAGCATGGAGTAAAGCACAAGGTCGCTACACCTTATCACCCACAGACAAGCGGGCATGTTGAGATCTCCAATAGGGAGATAAAAACAATTATGGAAAAGACTGTTGGGATTACAAGGAAAGACTGGTCTGCAAAGCTCGATGACGCAGTGTGGGCTTACATGACAGCTTTCAAGACCCCCATTGGTACAACTCCCTTCAATCTTCTCTATAGAAAATCATGTCACCTACTTGTTGAGCTCGAGTACAAAGATATGTGGGCGGTTAAACTACTGAACTTTGACATAAATACCGCTGAGGAGAAGCGGTTGATCCAACTTAGTGACCTTGATGAGATCCGTTTAGAAGCTTATGAGAGCTCTAAAATCTACAAGGAGAGGACCAAGCTTTTCCATGACAAGAAGATCATCACCAAGGATTTCCAAGTTAGAGATCAGGTGCTGCTATTCAACTCTCGCCTCAAACTTTTTCCAAGAAAGCTTAAGTCTAGATGGTCTGGTCCGTTTTGTATCAGTGAAGTCCGCCCTTATGGAGCAGTCACTCTTGCTGGTAAGAGTGAAAATTTCACAGTAAATTGTCAAAGGCTCAAGAAATACTTAGCAGATCAAATCTTTCCAGAGGTGACGACGGTTCATCTCCCGGAACTTCTTGATGATTAAAGGAGTAATGGTGTCGAGCTAATGACTTAAAACAAGGTCACTTGGGAGGAAGTCCCATGCCTTTCTCTGTACATATTTTTTGTTTTCTTTGTTATTTTTGATGCGTTTTACTAGTGTTTTCAGGAGATAACCGCCAATGTTTAAGTGTAATGGATCCAATCTCAGAGATTCACTCGACCGCATGCCGTAGAGATCGATTGTCTGTGTGCAATCGAGCATAAACATGGTTTCAATTGGAGCTCCAAGATGTCACTCGATCACACTGGCCACATGCTAATGAGGATCTGTAGTCGAGTAAATTTGATGATTTGGATCCTTTATACTCGACCGTTTACTCGACCAACAGAGATTTGTAGAGGATTTCAGGATTTCCTGAGGTTTTCCCAGTCAACAGGGAACAGTGCTTAAAGACAAAACAACAGAGCGTGGACCACACTCGTTTTCTCCCTGAAAATAAGATGGAAAGAGAATCACAAATTCAATCTCCACAACACTTTTTGAAATTGCCCTCATCCTAACAAAAAGTATGTTTACTCGACCAATCTCTTTTCATCCATCCACCGACACTCCAATCTCTCTCCTTCGCCACAAATCGCCATCTCTCTCTCGTCCAACGAATTTACTCGACCGCGAAGAGCAAAGACACCGGAGCACCACTCGTCATACTCGACTGCCGTGAAAAGAATCATCTACTCGACCACCTCTACGCTGCTGCAGTCAAGTTCCCTGTCTTATTCACCGTCGAAACCTCAAGAACTACTCGATTTTAGCCGAGAACTACTCGATTCCGACCACTAGACTTTAACGCCTCACTACCATTACCAAGTTCACCATCTCTGCTACTCGACCGTCGATCCATGATTCTGTCCTCGCCAATTCCGGCTCACCATCGAAGTACTCGACCGCCTAATTTCACCGGTTGTACACGACTTCCTTAACTTTACTCGACCTCATGTTCTACTCGGTTCAAACTGTGAAAGAAGAACTCGGGAATGCATCGATTTACTCGAGTACTAGATTATACTCGACGAACTTGGTCCATTTCATTCTCTGTTGATAACGATTCTGGTTTCATTGTTTTCTTTAAGACTAACATATTGACATTTGAGTTTTGAGTTCTCAATCTTTTTCAGGATTATCATGAGTAATTATAGTGACGGTTCGTCAATGGATCCTGACTATCACATGGATGAGGCTGAGTCTTCATCTTCAAGGCCAGAAAGAGAACAGAGAGAATATGATAACTTCAGGAGAAAAGCTGAGGTAGCTCGAGGGAAGAGAGCAATGACAAAGAGGTATGTGCTGATAGATGAGGATCTGGAGGACGAGTATATGCCTACGCATACTCGCAGAGCCACACAACTTCTGCACAAACCTGATGTATTGCCAGTTGAGGAGTATATCAGGCTCTTCAAGCTGAATGAGTTCTACTGCACAAGATATCCTTGCTCGACTACGCTGGCACAGCTTGGATTACTGGAGGATGTTCAGCACATGTACCAGAGTTGTCACCTGGACACTTTGATGGCTTACTCATATGTAGCCTATGAATAATAAACGATTCAGTTTCTTTCCACACTACAAGTGGAGCTTTACCAAGGTATGACCTCTGATGATTTGGAAAGTGAAGGAGTGAGATTCTTGCAATTCTATGTGTATGGTCAGGGTTATATGCTATCAATCAAGCGCATGGAAGGATTGTTCAGTTTCCCAGTGGAACGGGTACTAAGCCCAAGTTTGACAGATAAGAGTTGAAAGATTTATGGATCACCATTGGCAGCTCTGTACCGCTGAATTCTTCTAGATCCAAGAGCAATCAGATACGCAGTCTTATCATCAGGTACTTCCAGCATTATGTAGCTAATGTCCTCTACTCCCGAGAGATAACATGGATTGTCACCAATTCTGATATGGAGATGATCGCTTTGGCTCTCAAAGGCACTCTCCGCCAAACCAAGAACAATATGTCTCTCCAAGGTGAAACCAATGACACATATCTCTCTATACTTCTTCTGATAAACCTGTGTGGATACAAGAGTTGGTCTGTCAACAATAACCACAAGAGAGCACGAGGCGCTCTTTGCATAGGAGGTGTTGTGACACCGATTCTGATCGCTTGTGGAGTCCCAAAGACATCTGATGGACTTGAACCACGGGCAATGGATATCGAGCAATTACATCACTACGAAATCCTTGAGTTCGCAATGGTTGGCGACATGCATCGTTTCAAATTTGAGCACTCTACAGATAAGAAAGCCAACATCCTTCTCGCTAGTTCTGAGGTTACACGCATAATAGAGGGAGATAACATTGATTTCAGGCTTGAGCTCGATAACCTCTATTACGAGAACGCTCAGCCAACATATGAGGATGTTCATACAGAAGAAGCTACCGAGGATGGGATGGACGAAGACAGAGAAGTGGAGTATGACCATGTATCATTGTAGTGAGGATGTACCTCCAGCGAGGGAGAGCAAGAGTTTGAGTGAAGCTCACAGGAACAAAAGCAAGTTGTAGAAGTAGTGCAAGACACAAGATAAGTTACTCGCCAAGTGCTTCAAGACTATCAAGTTTCTAACTAACAAGCTAAGCTGCTACTCTTCCACTACATCTATTCCACAGAGACAGCCTCCTCAGGACATGCCATCGAGGAGATTTTATGTGCCTGAGCCAAGTCAGGACATGCCAGAGCCTAGTGAGCAGAGAGTCTCACATGTCCCTACTAGACATTCGTCATTCGAGTCCCGGGAACACTAAAAGAGGAAGAAGGCTACGCTCGTTCGCTCTAGCAGCAGATCACGCTTTATCCACTCGAGGAGATCACTCGACCGCGGTGCTAACTGCAGCAGAAGGAGAGAGGTCGAGTATCCTCAAAGTGGTGCTGGCCGCCACAAAGCCGATGAGGTCGAGTACCCACATGCTGGAGCTGATACAGAACAGGGCGACTCGTAAATGGCTTGGGACCAATCATAGGCAGCCATTGATGACCAACTCCGTTCATTCTTCGACTGAGGTAAGAGCCTCACTTCACCATTGTTATATATCATCTCTTGTTTTTATTTTGTTTCTATGATTTGTCTTCCAAGTTTAGTCACCCAGTGTACTATGTGATTTAAGTTTGGGGGAGGGCTTAGGAAGTGTGTTGCATTGTATATATTCTCGACTCTGCATTCATCTAAGGCATAGAAAAACCAAAAAAATTTGAAAAATTTCAGAAAATGATTTCACAAAAACAAAGTGTTCATGTAGTGGCATTACATTTAGGATCGAGTCTAGAGTGTTTCATTTAGGATTATTGCATATGCATAGGGGATAATGATGAGATAGCCTTGTAAGCATTTTGGTTCACAAGATAAACTCAGTGCCCTTGTTGTTAGTTGTCTGATCTGTAGTCAATGAAATTGAAGTAAAACTGCACCATGCCTAGATTGCTCTACTCGACCACACTGTCATGATCTGATATCATTCCCTATCAGTTTGAACCTGAATCTGATTTTCAATTATCATGTTTGCATCAAATTTCAACTCATGGATACCCTAAAATATTTGGATTTTCTTACTCATTTTAACAGCTCTTGTTAATCCAAGTAACTGACTCTCCTTATTAGAGCAGTTAAACTTGGTAGAAAGTGTTTGTGAGGTCTTATTCCGATTAAACTTGGTAGAAAGTGTTAGGTTCGTAACGACAGAGATAGTGTCTCATGTAGTTCTAGATCGCATTATCCGGACTAGATAGGACTAGCTGGACGCTTATACTTTGGGTTGGGATGTGTCTAAAAGAAAAAAAAGGGTGGATTCATTGATAAGAAAAGGTAAAAGACTCTAGGTAAAGTAGGGTAAAGAAGAAGAAAAAAAATCTAGTAAATGTTTTGGAATTTGTAAAAAAAATAAAAGGGTTCTTGTTAGCTAATGAAGAAAGTCAAAAGCCCTCGTTTTAAAAATTTAAAACAAAAACCTTAGTTGTTAAAGAAATCCAAATTTGCTAGATGTATCAGAGTGTTGAGAAAAGAAAAGAATGATTAGAAAAAGGGCTTAAAAAATTCATGAATGCAAAGAGTAGAGTTAAATTCTTAATTTGAGACTGGAGATGGGATTACCATTAGAGCTTCATTGGTTATACTCTGGGTAGATGGGATTTTATCTCTATATACATAGCTTGGGACTTACCTTTAGCATTTTGCTAAAGCTTAATCATTTTTGAGAGATCCCCATTTACTGAAGCCTATTTTGTAAGGGACCATCTTTGTCTCTTGACCTATACCTTAGCCAAATGAGTTCACTGATGATGCATTGCTTGATTCATGTTCCAGAACTAATGAATGTTAAAAGGATTGGTAGATTTGAAAACATGTGTAGGTCGAGCATAAGAGTCGGATTGATTAATAACAAGGCTTAGCGAACGTTTTTGAGTAGAATTCGATCATATCGCAGCTTATAACTACCAACTTGGACATTGATTTAATTTGATTTATCTGGTGCTTTGGCTCAGAGTCTCTGCTTTCAAACCTCACCTCCAGCTTGTTCTTAATTGTTTGCTTGAGGGCAAGCAAAGACTAAGTCTGTGGAGTTGATAAGTGTGCATTTTACATATTTTGAGCATCCATTTGTCATCACATTAGCATCATATTACCACTGTTTTATACCATTTCTCATCATTTGTCATCACTTTGCATGTTTAGGATAATTTTGCATATTTATGTTGTTTTCAGGTGATTTGGAGCTGTTGGCAAGCTAATTGGATGAAATGGACCTGATCATATCAATATACTCGACCCTGAGGTAGAGTACTGCCATCCTGGAATTTCTGAAGCACCCGATCACACCTCCGCAGCCAGTCACTCGACCGCAACACTCTGGTTCACCACTCGACCCCCTGGTCGAGTAGAAGGCATCACCACTTCTCTCCACCACTCGACACCCTGGTCGAGTATCACCATCTCTACCACTCCACGTTCACTCGATCACCTCCACTCGATTACATAGTCGAGTACCACCATCATCCACCACTCGACATCATACTCGACTGCCAGCTTCAAAGTCTTCTCCATTCTGCACTCAATCAGACACTCGAGCATAAGGAAGAGAAGAAGACTCCAGCTTACCACTCGACCAATCACTCGACCACCTGGGTCGAGTGCCGTTCTTAAATCCATCCCAATACTGTGTCGTTTTAAGTATTAGGGTTTCAGAATATTTTGCTATAAGTAGCATGTACTTTACATTTTCCAAAAAAGTTTTAATTCGGCAGACACTGTGTGTTCTTGACATTTTGTAATCCGAATTTCTCTTAATCTATTCAGTATTTGCTTTTCATTTCGTTTACTAAGTTGTTCATCATGTTATCATCTTGATATTACTCTGTTGCTATCATGTTTTCATTCTTATCATCGTTTATTCTTTCTACAATGATGTCTGAGTAGTGACTAGGTTTCTGAGGATGGGTTAGAATAGTTTAGAATTCTCAGTATGCTAGGTGGTTGAGTTTGATTTATAGATCCCTTATGGATTAGTTATTCTTAATGCCTATTGTTTTTTGATCAACTGGAATTTGAGCCCAGACATTCATGGCTCTGTACAAAGGTATTGGTTACAAGGAGCGTTTTGGCTTTACTTGTTGATTCGTAATGCCTGTTAGGTTAGCTCTCGTCAATGGTGATTGAGTCTGGGACTGGTTTAACTTGAGGGTCTCTGTTGCGGTGGCATTTAGATTTGGTTATCGAACTTGTTTTCTAGGGATAATTTATTGAGCATGTCAATCACCTGTAAACTGAGGAAACGAAACTACTCAATTACCCCATCCTCGGGACTTTCTCATCTAATTGATTTCTTTGTTTAATCTGCTTTGTTTACTGCATCTTGCTGCATGTTGTTTACTTTTTGCATTTTTTGCGTGATACTCGACCACCCAGTTGTTTGGCAACTACCCAGTTGTCTGGCAAGAGACTGTGCAGTCGAGAATACCTGTTACATTTTCTGTCTGTTACTCGACCTGTCACTCGACCACACCCAGTGCTTGGCAACGAGCTGTGTTGGTCGAGTGTTTTAACTGTTTCTGCTTGAATTTTTGTTTTCTGCATGTTCACTTAGACCTACTAGAAACCCCAAAACCTATTATTGCTTGGCTTGACTCTGTGAACTCTGATTGCATCTTGATTGCTAGCATCATACCCTTTTAGATTGACAACATTCAGTACTACAACGACATGATATTGCTTTAGGATTAATTGATCTTAAAAACCTATTATCAAGTAGATGGGGTATCCTTACATAGCGGGTGGGACCCACGACAAATGGTTCTTAAAGTTTTCAAAAGCAAATAAATACGATTGCATTGCATATATAAACAAATGCAATCATACCAGCACTAATTCACCGGATCCCATCAGAACTCCGCAATTAAGCATGCTTGGGCGTGAGTAGTACTAGGATGGAAGACCTCCTGAGAAGTTCTCGTGTTGCATCCCTCATTTTTTTTTGGTTTTTCTCTTTTTCTTTGTTAAAAATTTATGACTGTATAACTTTTAGACTGTGAGTCCAAACTTGGGATGAGATACCTTTTCGCAAAGCTCAAAGAGAGCTCTCCGACATAGAGGAAGGGCAATGGAATAATTCCATTGGTTTTTTTTCCTACTCCAAATTTTGAACTTAAGGTACTTTTTTGGGCCTTTTCGTGATCTATGCTATATTACGGGGCAAAAATTATATGTTCGAACATTGTTTTGAATATTTTGCATGTATCAAAGCTCGAATAAACAAGATATGGTATTCCTACATAGCTGGTGGGACCCACGGCGAATAGATCATAAAGTCTTCAAAAAAGAATACATACGATTTCATTGGATGTAGTAACCGATGTGATCATACGAGCACTAATGCACCAGATCCCATTGGAACTCTACAGTTAACCGTGCTTGGGCGAGAGTTGTATTAGGATGGGTGACCTCCTAGGAAGTCCTCGTGTTGCATCCTTTTTTTTTTTTTTAGTTTTTATCTTTTTTTTGTTAAAACTTTTATGACTCAATAACTTTTAGATTATGAGAACTTGGCATGTGATACCTTTTCGGAAAGCCCAGAGAGAGCCCTCCGACGAAACAGGAAGGACAATGAAATTTTTCCATTTTTTTTTTTACTCCAAATTTTGACCTAAAGGTACTTTTTCGTAATGCCTGTTAGGTTAGCTCTCACATCATTTCATATTCGACTCCAAAACACTAACAAAGCTTCTTCTTGCTTCTCAAAGTTTTGATGGTGTAGACGAAGTCCGTATGAGTGCTTGTCTTTGTATCTTCTAACAAGGATACAATACTTAGGCTTTTAAGATCTGGTTGCGGTTCTAGGTGTTATACTCACTCATACTTATGCTTTGTATGAGTGAGTATAACAAATAGAACCGCAACCGAATTTTAAAAGCCTAAGTATTGTATCCTTGTTAGAAGATACAAAGACAAAGACTCATACGGACTTCGGCTACACCATCAAAGCTTTGACAAGCAAGAAGAAGCTTAGTTAGCGTTTTGGAGTCAAATATGACTTAATGTGATGTGTATGATTGAGTATAAGAACTTAAACCGCAACTCGATCATAAAAGCCTAAGTAGTGTTTCCTTGTTAGAAGATACAAAGCCAAAGACTCATACGGACTTCATCTACACCATCAAAGATTTGAGAAGCAAGAAGAGGCTTGGTTAGTGTTGTGGAGTCATATATGACTAGATGTCACGTGTATGAGTGAGTATAACAACTAGAACCGCAACCGGATTTTAAAAGCCTAAGTATTGTATCCTTGTTAGAAGATATAAAGACAAAGACTCATACGAACTTCGGCTATACTATCAAAGCTTTGAGAAGCAAGAAGAAGCTTGGTTAGTGTTTTGGAGTCAAATATGACTTGATGTGATGTGCATTATTGAGTATAAGAACTTAAATCGCAATCCTATCTTAAAAGACTAAGTAGAGTTTCCTTGTTAGAAGATACAAAGCCAAAGACTCATAGGGAGTTTAGCTACACCATCAAAGCTTTGAGAAGCAAAAACAAGCTTGGTTTGTTTTTGGAGTCAAATATGACTTGATGTCATGTGTATGAGTGAGTATAACAACTAGAACCGCAACCAGATCTTCAAAGCCTAAGTATTGAATCTTTGTTAGGAAATACAAAGAAAAAGACTCATACGGACTTCGGCTACACCATCAAAGCTTTGAGAAGCAAGAAGAAGCTTGGTTAGTGTTTTGGAGTCGAATATGACTTGATGTCATGTGTATGATTCAGTATAAGAACTTAAACCGCAACCAGATCTTAATAGCCTAAGTAGTGTTTCCTTGTTAGAAGATACAAAGCCAAAGACTCATACGGACTTCATTTACAACATCAAAGCTTTGAGAAGCAAGATGAGGCTTGGTTAATGTTGTGGAGTCAAATATGACTAGATGTCATGTGTATGAGTGAGTATAACAACTAGAACCGCCACGGGGTTTTAAAACCTAAGTATTGTATCCTTGTTAGAAGATACAAAGACAATGACTCATAAAGACTTCGACTACACCATCAAAGCTTTGAGAAGCAAGAAGAAGCTTGGTTAGTGTTTTGGAGTCGAATATGACTTGATGTGATGTGTATGATTTAGTATAAGAACTTAAACCGCAACTTGGGCTTTAAATGCCTTAGTAGTGTTTCCTCGTTAGAAGATATAAAGACAAAGACTCATACGGACTTCGGTTACACCATCAAAGCTTTGAGAATAAAGAAGAAGCTTGGTTAGTGTGTTGGAGTCGAATATAACTTGATGTCATGTGGTTTATTGAGTATAAGAACTTAAACTGCAACCGGATCTTAAAAGCCTAAGTAGTGTTTCCTTGTTAGAAGATACAAAGCGGAAGACTCATACGGAGTTTAGCTACACCATCAAAACATTGAGAAGTAGAAGCAGCTTGGTTAGTGTTTTGGAGTCAAATACGACTAGATGTCATGTGTTTGAGTGAGTATAACAAGTAGAACCGCCAGGTGATCTTAAAAGCCTAAGTATTGTATCATTGTTAAAAGATACAAAGACAAAGACGCATACAGACTTCGGCTACACCATCAAAGCTTTGAGAACAAAGAAGAAGCTTGGTTAGTGTTTTGGAGTCGAATATGACTTGATGTCATGTGTATGATTGAGTATAAGAACTTAAACCGCAATTAGATCTTAAAAGCCTAAGTAGTGTTTCCTTGTTAGAAGATACATAGTCAAAGACTCATACGTAGTTTAGCTACACCATCAAAGCTTTGAGAAGTAAGAAGAAGCTTGGTTAGTGTTTAGGAGTCAAATATGACTTGATGTCATGTGTATGACTAAGTATAACAACTAGAACCGCAACCGGATCTTAAAAGCCTATGTATTGTATCCTTGTTAGAAGATACAAAGACAAAGACTCATATGGACTTCAGCTATGATAATAGCTTTTTAGTCAATTATCCTAAAACACCAATCATGTCATTGTAGTATTTTAGGTTGTCAATCCAAATGGGTGTGATGCTAACAATCAAGATTTGATCAGAAGTCACTAAGTCAAGCCAAGCATAACAGGTTTTGGTGTGTTCCAGCAGTCCTAAGTGAACATGCAGAAAACAGAAAATCAAACAGAAACAGTAAAACACTCGACCAACACAGCTCTTTGCAGAGCTCTGGGTGAGGTCGAGTGACAGGTCGAGTAACAAACAGGAAATGAAACAGGGATACTCGACTGCACAGTCTGTTGCCAGAGAACTGGGTGGTCGAGTATCAGATCGAGTAACAGTAAAGAATTGTAGAAACTAAGCAACAGATGACAGGATGCAGTAAACAGTAGTAGAGTAAACAATAAAATCAATCAGATAAAGAATTCCTAAGGATGGGATAATTGAGTAGTTTCGTTTCCTCAGTTTACAGGTGATTGACATGCTCAATAAATTAACCCTAGACAACAAGTTCATTAACCAAATCTAAGTGCCACCGCAACAGAGACTCTCAAGCTAACCTAGTCCCAGACTCAATCACCATTGACGAGAGCTAACCTAATAGGCATTACGAATCAACAAGTTAAAGCCAAAACGCTCCCTGCAACCAATACCTTGGTACAGGGTCACGAATCTCTGGAATTAGTGGTTCAAACATTTCATCGAACACCTTTTGGACGCGGAAATGTCTGGGCTCAAATTCTAGTTGATCAGAAAGCAATAGGCATTAAGAACAACTAATCCAGAAGGGATCTATCAATCAATACTCAATCACCTAGCATACTAAGAATTCTACACTACTCTAACCCATCCTCAGAAACCTATTCACTACTCAGACATCATAACAGAAAGCATAAACGTTGAACAGGTTGAAGACATTATAACAACAGTGTAACAGTAGTGTGATAACAGAATGAACAACAGTAAACGAAAATCAAGAACCAAAGCTGAATACTGAATAGATAATGAGAAATCCGGATTACAAAAAGTCTAGAACACAAGGTCTGCGGAAATAAAACTAGGTAAAAACTTCTTTTCTGCGAAAATGAGAAGTACATGCTACTTATAGCCAAATATCCCGAAACTCTAATACTCAAAACGACGAAGTATTTGGACGGGTTAAGAACTGTACTCGACCCAGGTGGTCGAGTGAGAGGTCGAGTGAATAGCTGGAGTCTTCTTTTCTTCCTTGTGCTCGAGTGTCTGGTTGAGTGCGGAATGAAGAAGGCTCTGAAGCTTGTCATCGAGTATGCAGTCGAGTGGTGTGATGGAGGTACTCGACCTCTAGGCAGAGTGATGTGGTCGAGTAGTGGTCTGGCAGTGAAGGTGAAGACACTCGACCTCATGGTCGAGTGAAGTGATCGAGTGATGGAGACGAGGGCACTCGACCTCGTGGTCGAGTGGTGAAGTGAAGTGGTGATGTCCTCTGCTCGACCTGGGGGTCGAGTGGTCTCTTGAGGTCTTGAAGCTCCTACTCGACCTCTGGGTCGAGTGGTTTGTCACGATCAGGTCCGCTTCTTCCAGATAGCTCGTCAACAGCTCCAAATCACCTGAAATCAACGCAAATATGTAACATGCATGCAAAACTATCCTAAACATGCAAAGTGATGACAAATGATGTGAAATGGTATAAAACAGTGATGATATGATGCTAAAGTGATGACAAATGGATGCTCAAAACATGCAAAATGCACACTTATCAACTCCCCCAAACTTAGTCTTTGCTTGCCCTCAAGCAAACAATCAAGAACAAGCTGGAGGTGAGGTTTGAAAGCGGGGACTCAGAGCCAAAGCACTAGATAAACCAGATGAAATCAATGTCCAAGTTGAAAGTTCTAAGCTGCAAGATCGAATTCTACTTAAAAACGTTAGCCATGCCTCATCAATCAATCAATCCGACTCATATGCTCGACCTACATAAGTTTTCAAATCTACCAATCCCTTTAACATTCATTAGTTTTGGAACGTGAATCAAGCAATGCATCATCAAAGAACTCATTTGGTTAAGGTAAAAGGTCAAGAGACAAAGATGGTCCCTTACAGAATAGGCTTCAGTCACAGGGGATCTCTCAAAAAATGATTAAGCTTTAGTAGAATGCTAAAGGTAAGTCCCAAGCTATGCCTACAGAGATAAGATCCCATCTACCCAGAGTACATCAAATGAAGCACTAATGGTAATCCCATCTCCAATCCCAATACAAGAACTAAACTCTACCCTTTGCATTCATGAATCTTTTAAGCCCTTTTTCTAATCATTCTTTTCTTTTCTCTTAACTCTAGGAGAAGCTTTCTCAACACTTTGTTACATCTAGCGGATTTGGATTTCTTTAACAACTAAGGTTCCTGTTTTTAACATTTTAAAGCCAAGGGCTTTTGCCCATCTCCAATAGCTAACAAGAACTCTTTTTTTTCTTTACAAATCCCAAAACCTTTACTAGACTTTTTCTGCTTCTTTAGCTTACTTCACCTAGAGTCTTCTACCTTTTCTTATCATTGAA